CTGTAAACAAAGCAGAGCTGTGCTTATGAACAGCAATAATAGTGTTTCCTTGGTTACCACTGTAAACAAAGCAGAGCTGTGCTTATAAACAGCAATAATAGTGTTTCCTTGGTTACCGCTGTAAACAAAGCAGAACTTCGCTCATGAACAGCAATGATACAGTGTTTCCTTGGTTACCGCTGTAAACAAAGCAGAGCTGTGCTTATGAACAGCAATAATACAGTGTTTCCTGGGTTACCGCTGTAAACAAAGCAGAGCTTCGCTCATGAACACTACTTTAATATGCATCGTTCGGAGGCAAGATGAGAAAAAATTTTTTTTTAAACTTTTCTAAAGACAGTCAGTTCCCCTCAGAGATACATTCATATAAACTACTACTCCAATTGTATCATGATTTGTCTGGCATCTCAACCGATTTGAATCGTCACATATTTTAATCGATTTTCAACCGGCCTGCGGTTCATCGTTACATCCTTAATTCACACCAACATGATTGTTCAGCATGAAAATTCACTGTTTTTTTAACATACGTTTTGTTCCAAAAATCATGATGTGGTGATCGAGCCACAGGTGTGAGGCTGCAGGTGATCACAGCTGATATTCAGACCAACAGAAACGACTGCGAGTGTGATATTACTAATGCAACACTTCAATAAACAAGACCTTCATGTGACTAACTTTTTCAGACTGAATTTTGCCAACGAAAACCGTTTCAGATGAAGTCAAAGCAGAATCAACTGGAGCAACATGCAGTGTTTCTGTAGCTCAGACAGTAGAAAGTGGTGATAACAGCAGAATGCTTTGGGTTTAGTGTTCGGGGAATGGATGAACTGATCATATGTACACCTTGAAGGAAATGTCTGTCTTATTCATAAATGAAAACACCCTGAATGAATCATTGTTTCTGAACAAATTGAGTGTGTGAATGATTCAGTGACTCTAGGACAGTCTACTGGTGTAATGATGATAAATCCCCAGCACTAATGAGCACAGACTGACAGTCTGTCTGAAACAGTGCTTCTATATCAGCACTCCTGTAACGCTGCTGGAGCAGTCAAAGAAAGACCAGAACTAATGGTTGTGTAATATAAACTCGAAGCATCAGTGCCAGCCTTGATCAGGACTGGAGCTCAACGGCTGTGATGTGACCGTGATAAGGGTTGTGTGTGTGTGTGTGCAGCTCTACAGAGATGGAGCATGAGGTGGCGTGTCTGGACATCACTCCTCTGGGCGAGAGCGCAGGAGAGTCCAGCATCTGTGCTGTGGGGCTCTGGACCGACATCTCAGCCCGCCTGCTCAAGTTACCCTGCTTCAGCCCGCTGCACAAAGAGATGCTGGGCGGAGGTGAGACGCACGCACGCACGCACACACGCACACACACACACACTCACAGAGATACACACTCACTCACACACACACACAAACACACACATGTCTGGTTTGCTATCCTTGTGGGGACTCTCCATAGGCGTAATGGTTTTTCTACTGTACAGACCATATATTCTATTGCCCTACACCAACCCTACACCTAAACGCACACACACACACACACACACACACTCACAGAGACACACACACACACACACTCACAGAGACGCACGCACAGACGCTCATGTTCATGACACTACACACACACAGAGGTGCTGTGAAAACATTCCCCAGAGAGAAGCTTGAACAACACACTTTCTCTTTCCTTCGCACTTTATTTCTATTTATTCACCTTTGTATAAGAAGCTTTTATAAAGCACTTTTCCCAAACTCAAGCTGAAGTCTTTGAGACATTTCAAACAAAAAACATGGTACGATAGTGCGAGAGCCACACTGCAGCACTCAGGCTAATGGTAATGGTCATGTATGGTGTCACGCGGGACATGTTCCTGCGCTCTGAAACAGTCTTCAGGTCTGGATCTGATCCTCTTTCAGCGTGTCGCTGTGGTCAATGACACCTATCTAGGTCACGTTCATACAGACAGAGAAATCAAGACAAACCACGCCATCATGAGCTGGCTAGAGTTCACTCGCTGGAAAACACACAGCTACAGTTGTTGTTTAGCTCAAATGATCAATTCGAGTGTTTAAAATATCTCCACATATATCAGGAGCTTGAGGAATGCACACTTTATATCCTATAGTCCCAGTGAGGTGTATCAGAGCAGTGCTTATTCCTGCATCTTTACCCTTTGCAGCTCTTGAGATGCATGTTATAAAGGTAACGGCACCTATTTAGATTGCTTTTATTAGTAATTGAATTAACTGTCACTTTTCTTTGAAAGATATTTCTGTTGCTGTGTATGATTAATGAATGAAAGTGTCTGGAGAAGCCTGAGCGTCAGACGGTCATGAAGTGTGCAGTGTGAATGTATTTCTGCTGTGCTCAGGGTTAATGCTGGATATAGTTAGTGTAAGTGAGTCTTAAAATGTGCATAATGTAAACATATCTGAATAATGTTGGTACTCCGTTTCCTATATGAGATTATAGATTCACAGCGTGTTGTGAAAGACAGTGCTGTTGTTTTGATGCCGTTTGGTGAATGAATCTGAAGAGCGTCTGAAGCATGAATGTGTTTGCTGAGCTGAAGAACATGTCACATGTCTCTCACTGACCGCTGATCGTGTGTGCTGTAGAGATCATCCCTCGCTCCATCCTCATGACCACGTTTGAGGGCAGTCATTACCTGCTGTGTGCGCTTGGAGACGGGGCGCTTTTCTATTTCGGACTGGACATTCAGACAGGTGAAAGCAACACACACACACACACGCTCTCTCTCACACACACACACACACACACACACACACACTCACTCACAAACACACACACAGTTAACAACCATCTACTCCATCGGTTCCTCTGAGCACTTTGGGGAGGATAGTCAACATGACATCTAATGGACTGTTTACTTTATTAACATGTTTCTGGTCTTGTGAATGATTCATTAGAACACATTATGTACAGTAAACGGTCAAATGTTTGTTGCAGGATTCAAGGATTTTTTTCTATAGAGGTTCCGGGTTTTCTTGTCATGTTGAAATTTTCCACTGGCCTCACCACATAAAATGTTTTGGATCCATGTAACCTTTTATTGTGATATAATGGCACTTTTCCACTGCATGGTACGGCACGGTACGATTCGGTTTGGCTCACTTTTGGGGGGTTTTGGAGTTTTGGACACGAGACACCAGAGCCGCTAGATTAAAATCATCACAGCCAGCGAAGGATCAAACGCAACTGTCTTTTGAACAAATACAACTGTTTTGAACGAGCGCACCTTTTTTAACAACCAAAGAATGGCTGTTTGGTGGTGTGTTGAGGAAGTACAGACGTTCCTCTCGTTGACAGCCGAGGAGCTTGATGGGTGATGTGTATGATCCTGCCCACTCTAAAGCGGTACTAAACTGCAGTGGAAACGCAAACCCAGCCGAGCTGTACCACACAGTGGAAAAGCTCCATAAGATTGGTGTGATACCAGCATTTTAGTTAACAGTTACCAATTTCACAATTCTTGATTCTAATTTTGATACCACAGCAAAAACTAATGTTGCTCAAACGTCATTAAAGACAAGTAAACAGTAATAAAATAAGAACAAGTAAACAAATTACTCGCTGTCAGCTGGAGTGTGTGTGCAGGCGTGACGTCTGACGCTCTCTCTCTCTGCAGTGCTGCATGCACATCAGTTCCTGCAGAACGAGTATGCATTAAGTATGGTGTCCTGTAAGCTGGGCAGGGATCCTGCCATCTACTTCATCGTCGGCACTGCGATGGTGTATCCGGAGGAGGCGGAGCCTAAACAGGGCCGCATCATCGTCTTTCACTATACAGACGGTAACCATCAGACACACCCCTGATTATTATCCACAGAGTTATTAAATGTTTCTCTAGGTGTTTCTACAAACACTGTGGCTATTTCAATGATGAGTGTACTTTGTTTTTTACACATCCGCTAGAGTATACATGCAGTGTGTGTGATGCAGGTTTCATCCTCATCATTAGAACAGCTCGTCTCAAAACCGAAGCATACTTTGAGTCTCCTCAAGCTTTTACCATTTCATATTAATATAAACAAAACTGCTCAAAGACCCACAAAACAATAGCAGCTTCGATTCAGAAGTGGTGTATTCTGCGTGACGTTGCTCATGGCTGTTTGCGTTGATGTGTGTGTGTGTGTGTGTGTGTGTGTGTGTTGAATCATGGGGTGTTTCTGGTTTTCTGTATTTCCAGGCAAACTGCAGACGGTGGCAGAGAAGGAGGTTAAAGGTGCGGTTTACTCCATGGTGGAGTTTAATGGTAAACTGCTAGCCAGCATCAACAGCACCGTGAGTTTCCTCCCATGATGCTGTGTTTTGAACGAGCGCACCTTTTTTAACAACCAAAGAATGGCTGTTTGGTGGTGTGTTGAGGAAGTACAGACGTTCCTCTCGTTGACAGCCGAGGAGCTTGATGGGTGATGTGTATGATCCTGCCCACTCTAAAGCGGTACTAAACTGCAGTGGAAACGCAAACCCAGCCGAGCTGTACCACACAGTGGAAAAGCTCCATAAGATTGGTGTGATACCAGCATTTTAGTTAACAGTTACCAATTTCACAATTCTTGATTCTAATTTTGATACCACAGCAAAAACTAATGTTGCTCAAACGTCATTAAAGACAAGTAAACAGTAATAAAATAAGAACAAGTAAACAAATTACTCGCAATAGCGCAAATAAATACAGTAGAACAAATAAATTAAACAGTGCTTCAAGGTTTTCAGGCATATCTAGCTCTTTTTACTCGGGTAAGAAATACTAGAGATTGAATGAAGTAATGCATGTATATGTTTTGTTGCAAAATTCAAGTTTAATTGAGTTTTAAGAGGCTTAAATTCCAGTCACACCCTAAGCTCTTAGTGTCTGATGTGGTGTGTGTGTCGTTCTGTGCAGGGGTTTTGAGTGAGCGTAAGAAGGTGACTCTGGGCACTCAGCCCACGGTTCTGCGCACCTTCCGCTCGCTCTCCACATCTAATGTGTTCGCCTGCTCCGACCGGCCCACCGTCATCTACTCCAGCAACCACAAACTGGTCTTCTCTAACGTCAACCTGAAGGAGGTCAACTACATGTGCCCACTCAACTCTGAGGGATACCCCGACAGGTAGGACACGAGAAAGATCAGGCCTGTTCTTATCAGCGAACACATCTGTAGTGAAAGATGGAGCGGTGACTTTGATTTCCTCTTCCTTCTGTCACAGTCTGGCTCTGGCCAACAACAGCACTCTGACCATCGGCACTATCGATGAGATCCAGAAGCTCCACATCCGAACCGTTCCTCTCTACGAGTCGCCCAAGTGAGTGTTTGAATCATGGGGTGTTTCTGGTTTTCTGTATTTCCAGGCAAACTGCAGACGGTGGCAGAGAAGGAGGTTAAAGGTGCGGTTTACTCCATGGTGGAGTTTAATGGTAAACTGCTAGCCAGCATCAACAGCACCGTGAGTTTCCTCCCATGATGCTGTTCAGTGTAATGGGTTTCCTGTGCGGCGCTGACGTCTGTGTCTCGACAGGTGCGTCTGTACGAGTGGACGGCAGAGAAAGAGCTGAGGACGGAGTGTAATCACTATAATAACATCATGGCCCTGTATCTGAAGACTAAAGGTGACTTCATCCTGGTGGGGGACCTGATGCGCTCCGTGCTGCTGCTGGCCTACAAACCCATGGAGGGCAGCTTTGAGGAGGTGATGGCTGCCGCCGGGAATTCTGGGATTCATGCGTCGTTTCAAGTTATAAGAAGCTGTTGTGGTTCTTAATTTCCTCTCGCTGTTTTCATTTCCTTAGATTGCTCGTGATTTCAATCCTAACTGGATGAGTGCTGTTGAAATCCTGGATGATGACAACTTCCTCGGAGCGGAGAACGCTTTCAACCTGTTCGTCTGCCAGAAGGACAGGTAATGGATCGAGTGGGAAAGTGTGATCGGTGAAATCCTGGTTCAGTCGTAATCCACGTGATCGTGAATTTTGCATGAGGGGGACAGATTTCACATCTGGTTGATAGCTCCAGTTCGTCATGTTGAGCAGCAGAAAGCTGCTTGGATTGAAAGTGACGTCTGAAGCTGTGCTTCATTCACTGCATACACTGATGTGCCTTAAAGGGACAGTTCACCCAAAAATGAAAATTACCCCATGATTGACTCACCTCCACATCCGAACCGTTCCTCTCTACGAGTCGCCCAAGTGAGTGTGTCCTCCGACAGGAACACATCCAGACTGCAGCTCTTAGCTTTGCTGGAAAGACTTATCGCTGCACTAACCCAGGGATGTCGATGATTAATCGCTAATTACAGTTAAGAATTTATTAGATTAAGCTTATCATGTGTCATTGTGTAATTATGAGAGCAAAGCTGACTGGAGCTGTTGCATTTAATTCATGCTCACTACACACACACTCCCTTGAAATGCTGGAGTATGATGTCATGAGAATCGTGCATTTACTTTTAAAGTAAAGATGTGCGCTACAGACGCATGATTGTGTGTTAAAGTACAGCACGACGACAAGCATGCTGTCTTTTTTCAGTGCTGCTCTATTTCTAATAAATCCAGCCCGTCAGCTTTTATTTAGTGGCCTGTGTCATTAGCAGGAACTTACTAAAAACATGCTTGTCTCTCTGAGGGTTAAACCGCTGCTGAGTGATCTAATGACACATTGTAAAGGCCAAATAAAACCATGTTCAAACTGCTGATATTCATGATTTAATTTGCTATTGCCGGCTAAAGCGATGGGAGTCTTTAGTTAATAATCAGCAGACTCAGTCAGTGATGGTGTGTGTCGTTGCAGGCGAATCTGCTATCAAGAGGTGTCTCAGTGTTTCGGAGTTTTGTCCAGTAGAGTAGAAATGCAGGACACCAGCGGGACCACAGCAGCCGTGCGGCCCAGTGCCAGCACACAGGTGTGTGAGAGTGAGTGAGTGAGTGTGAGCATACATGTGAGAGCGAGCGTGCGTGCGTGTGTGTGTGTGAGTGAGAGAATGAGTGGGTGTGTGAGAGCGTTTGTGAGTGAGTGTGTGTGTATATATGTATATATATATATATATATATATATATATATAGAGAGAGCGAAGCTGTTGTGGTTCTTAATTTCCTCTCGCTGTTTTCATTTCCTTAGATTGCTCGTGATTTCAATCCCAACTGGATGAGTGCTGTTGAAATCCTGGATGATGACAACTTCCTCGGAGCGGAGAACGCTTTCAACCTGTTCGTCTGCCAGAAGGACAGGTAATGGATCGAGTGGGAAAGTGTGATCGGTGAAATCCTGGTTCAGTCGTAATCCACGTGATCGTGAATTTTGCATGAGGGGGACAGATTTCACATCTGGTTGATAGCTCCAGTTCGTCATGTTGAGCAGCAGAAAGCTGCTTGGATTGAAAGTGACGTCTGAAGCTGTGCTTCATTCACTGCATACACTGATGTGCCTTAAAGGGACAGTTCACCCAAAAATGAAAATTACCCCATGATTGACTCACCCTCAAGGCATCTTAGGTGTATATGACTTTCTTCTTTCAGATGAATCCAAGTTATATTTAAAAACGTCCTGACTCTTCCAAGTTTTATAATGGCAGTGAATGGCTGTTATTATTATCCAATAAAGCGCATCCTTCCATAATAAACAGTGCCTCACACGGCTCCGGGGTGAATAAAGGCCTTCTGTAGCAAATCAATGCGCTTTTGTAAGAAAAATATCCATATTTAAAACGTTATAAACCGTAATCTCTAGCTTCCGCTAGCTGTCGTACGTTCACAATAGAACGGCGTTTCGGCGGATGATGTAGGACGTCGCCGTAGCGTTAGCTCCGGTGAAAAGTGACAAACGCAGAGGAGAGAGCAAAACAATACGCTGGTCACGAATTAGAAGTACAAAACAAGAATATAAAGAAAAATGTCGGAGGATTTTGATATAAGCCAAGAGGAGACTGGTTTTCCTTTGCTAAAGTAAGAAAACTTTGCTTCCTTTGCTCCTGTAAACAAACGTTGTTCTCGTGAGACTAGCCTGTTCTCACCGGAGCTGCAACAGATCTGACTGCTGCAGCCTAGAATTAAACCGCTGGTCTCGTCTGGTCAGAGGAGAACGGCACACTATTTCCCTGTTTAATACTGTAAAGCTGCTTTGACACAATCTGCATTGTAATAAGCACTATATAAATAATGGTGTGTGGCACTTTCTACTATGGATGGATGTGCTTTATTGGACTTCTTTTGAACTACTGAAAAATAACAGCCATTCACTGCCATTATAAAGCTTGGAAGAGCCAGGATGTTTTTAAATATAACTCCGATTGGATTCATCTGAAAGAAGAAAGTCAAACACACCTAGGATGCCTTGAGTCAATCATGGGCTATTTTTGTGTGAACTAACGCTTTAAGGGAAGTGAAAGTGTCGTTGAGGGTTGTTTGGTTGTGTGTCCTGCAGCGCGGCGACTACAGACGAGGAGCGGCAGCACCTGCAGGAGGTGGGTCTGTTCCACCTGGGAGAGTTTGTCAACGTGTTTTCACACGGATCTCTGGTGCTGCAGAATCTGGGCGAGAGCTCGACGCCGACACAGGGCTCGGTGCTGTTCGGCACAGTCAACGGCATGATCGGTGAGCTTCTGTCCGTTCACTCGCACAGCAATCCTGTAACGCCGTCATGCTGTCATTGTTCAGCCTGCTCCAGCGGCCGGCCGCGAGACTGAGCCACAGAAGAAGATTTAACTGTTCTGCTGTATCTGTGAGGACTGATTTACATGTGTGTGAGATGAAGAAACAGAGCGAGACGTGTCCAAATACAGTGCTATCAAGAGCTGTTTGTCAGGAATGAGGTGAAGCAGAGTTTAGTTGTTAGCTGTGGAGCGGTTTTGCGTTCATATCAGACTCGTTATGAAGAATCTGAAGCAGCTTTCCTTTGTAACGCCGTGTCCTGACTCCACGCGACGCGACAAGATTCCAGCGACAAGCGATTTGTGTGTCCACAATCAATCAAGTTTATAATCTAACTCATAAATATTTAACCTTTTTAACATTATTAAATGTACATACTGAGTGACTGATACCATCTTTTTTTATGGAATACACTCGTCGGTTAGCAGTAATTTCACAGTTTTAATGTACATGTTTGCTTTAATTTATTTTCAAGATCTGAGGTAAACTATCTGTTGTTGTTTTCAGTATGGCAATAAGCTCACACAAAATTATATTCAAACTCACATTAGACACCGTTTAAATTTGAATAAAGCACATAATCACCTGAGATTATCACTGTCATATAGTTTATATGATGCTGTTCCATCCACAGCATCACGGAAATAGAAACCGTTTCTGAATTAGAAATGTTGCATGTCGCCGTCGCGTGTAGTTAGGACACGGTGTAAGATTTCCAGAGATATTCAGCTGAATTTCCAGATAAACTGCATTATGATCTACCTTGATGTCATTACTGTGATGTTGGTTGTGTAAATGTGAGTTTTGATGATGATTTTTGTGTGTTTGAGGTTTGGTGACGTCGCTGTCGGAGAGCTGGTACAGTTTACTGCTGGATCTACAGAACCGACTCAACAAAGTCATCAAGAGCGTCGGCAAGATCGAGCACAGCTTATATCCTTCAGCAGCGGTCAGAGACGTGAACTCACACTCACGCACTCTCTCTCACACACACACACACACACACACACTCACACTCACACATTCAGCAAGAAAAGGTGCCTGGACTTTATTAGTCAGTCACTGGTCATCATGTTTGTGATCATCTAAACACATTTAAGATGTTCCAGCTGTATTAATATGTCCTGTCACACACACTAAATAAATATTCAACTCTCAGTTCCATTGATTCAAACATAAAGATGCATCTGCTTCAGTTGTGAACCTCATTATCTGATCTGTTGTTCAGACTCGTGAACCAGAAACTGCATAACATAAGCTTCAAGTCTTCATGAAAATGTTCTTGCATGTTTTGTCAAATCTGAAATCTGAACTCTGAACTTAAGTCCATTGCAACTCTTCAGTTTGATGGGAAACTCCACAAACATTGCTGCTGTTTCAAAACTAAGTTGAACATGTAACTAAACGACATATAGTCCTATTCTAAGATGGGTTTTTCTTAAACTGACTACAGTACATTTGAAAAGAGTTTAAGGATCATTGGGTGTTATTTGTGTGGAGCGGATTGAACCCAGAAAAGCTACTGAAGCAGAAGCAGCTTGAGACAGACAGGCGAGAAAGGACGAAGGCATCTGTCCGTGTGGAGTTATTGTGGCTCTGATGTTTTAGATTGAGGCGCTGCTGCAGTGTTTGATTTCTCAGGTCCATCTGATGATGTTTTACAGCAGCGTGATTGATTCGATTAAAGATGCTCCTGCTGAGATATTTTCAACAGACAGTGCTCCATTCTGTTGATGACTAGCAAAATTACACTCTTGATTAGGAATCATATTTAAATATTGTAATTGCAGTAAAGGAGGATTTTTCACATTCAGGTGTTTCATATAAACGCACTGCTATATGCAATCGACTTGAGTCTCAACTTTGTCTCCAAACTAGAGATTTATGAACTAGAGATAAATATTTCCTCATATCATGACTAGATTAAAGCGAGTGTCTTTCACACTGTTGCCATGAGATCGTGTGGGTGTTTTATTGCAGAGGAAGAGAAATCAGGATGAATTATTGATCAGAGAACGGAAGAAAGACAGAGGCTTATTGTATGGAGCCAAATCATCATTCGTGTGTGTGTGTGTATCTATGCATTTATGAATGTGTTTGTGTGTGTGTGTATGTATGTATGTATGTATATATGTGTATATATGACTCTGGACCACAAAACCAGTCATTTCAGATTATGAATAAATAATCTTTCCATTGATGTATTGTTTGTTAGGATCGGACAATATTTGGCTGAGATACAACTATTTGAAAATCTGGAATCTGAGGGTGCAAAAAAATCTAAATATTGAGAAAATCATCTTTAAAGTTGTTCAAATGAAGTTCTTAGCAATGCATATTACTAATCAAAAATTAAGTTTTGATATATTTACGGTAGGAAATTTACAATGTTCAGAATGGAAAACTAAAAGAACTACAGACTGAATATAAACCCTACATACTGTATACTTACTAATAAAAAAAATAGTATTTGAAACCGAAAACATTAACCAGTAATAAGTGTTTCAAACAGGACTGTGTTACTTTGTCACATGACCTCATTATTTTGCACATCAGTGTTTATCAGGGTTGATTTATACTCTCGCTGTGGGCTTTTGTGAAGTCCACTGGTCTCCCTGAAACATTATTTAATCGAAGGGGAGACCGTGGAAAAAACATGACTGAGCTAGTAGTGGTTATCGCTGTGAAAGTGCAATGTCGAGTCAGTATTGCATCTGGTTATTGCACACAGACAATCTGCTTCATAGTGTATGCTGCGACAGCAGTAACCGTACATTAGTGTCTGTTCTGAACATTCACTTGTTCAGTAAGATTCTCTTGATTTACCAGACTTGTCTGATCAATAATCTGTGCATTAGTTTTGTTTTTTGCATCACTTACATTTTGCTGTAGTGGGTATATATTTACAGATCTGAACATACAGAAAGTGTGTAAACATATAGTGGCCCCAAAAGCATCAGGACACAATTGACACTGAGAACATGAGAATGTCATTGCAGAAGATAAAGCAAGTGTCATTTATTTAAAGAGAGCACAAGCACACATGAACTCATTTTGTTAGCAAAATTCAATTCGAATTACACAAAATGGCAAAAGGCGACCAGAGAATATAAACACAGAGTCTTGTTTCATTTTCATCATCAGATAAATCTCGTGCTGTGCATTAAACTGAAAGCTGAAATGCTGAATCTGCAGTAAGACTGCAGTGATCGCGTCACATCCGGCCGCTGAACTGCATTCGTCTAATGGATTTATGAAGGCAGTATGTCCTTCACTGCTTGTGATTTCCGTGCCGTGACCGTTGAGCTGAAAGATGACGTTGCATCTGAGCGTGAAATGCATGTTTCTGGACAACTTTTTCAACTTTTGATCTTAATTTCTTGTGAGAAGTTAGTATTGTAGTTGCACGAGGAGTGATCGAGCTTTCTGACACAGCCGGTCTGTCGAGCCTCAGTATCACATCAGAACAGTTCATCCAGTGTTTGATTGCCATCTGTCCAGTGTGTGTTTGAGACACTGAGATCAGATCCAGCATCCCACACCCTACAGACGACAAACGATGGGAAGATGGATGGATGGATGATATTTAATAATTCCTTCAGACCAATTCAATCTCAACGAGGGTTAGTAAATGTCCCAGTGAGTCAAACCGTTTGAATCAGTTGACCGAAGGGATTCGCTCAGTGTCTCTTTCTGTAGATACAGGAGTACATCATTACACCAGTAGGTGGCGATCAGTCATTTTGTTAGAAGTAATTGAATGAATCACTCATCAGATTCACTCCGAGACATTTCTGACAGAAACAGATCTTAGTGTGTGCATGTCTCAGATCAAATATAAACTGTGTTTCAATCATGTGTGCGTATGGTCATGTTTGATGAATGGGGAGTGATGCTGTGTGCTTTACTCTTTCAGTGCACAGAATGAGATAGTCTCAAACATTTCCAGGCATCCGTCACGCCTGTGCTTCAGCGCCGTAATGCACACGGACCGTCGGATTGCGCATTTGTAATGCACAAAAACAGCCCTGAGCCAGACGTTCATCCTAAACCCAAACTCACTGTGACTGTAAATATTCTGACTGTAATTAAGAGAAGCTCCGCCTTGATGCAGTGATTGACAGGTGTGCAGTTCATACAGTCACGCTAGCTTCTCTAAGCCACTGAATTCTGTTACATTCTTCCTGAAATATCACGAAAATGTAACTTTAATTATAAGTGTAAAGGCTTTGGAACAATAGTGTTGCTGCCCTTACTGCATTGACAAATGAAATCGTAACACGTTCAGTTCGATATATAATGCTAGCAGTACTGTAGTGTTGGAAATGGCAAAGGAAAATTACATAAATGAATTCTTCTCAATTTTGTACATATTTATTCCCATTATGTCTCATAGCTATAGGAAATGTAAATCCAAATACAGGAATATATTGACATTTTACATTTTTTATTTCTAATTGAATTCAGTTAAACGCTTCCATCATTTTCAAGCGAAACATTTCACAAAAAGAAGCTTGTTAGTTTAAAAATGATAAAACTATACAAATAGTGTTAAAAATGAAGATATTAGAGACTCGACCGTGAGTTTGCGGTGGATCTGTTTGGGCAGATTGAGTTTTAAAGGGATCATGAACTGCCTCTGCTTGTTATTTTGTACTGTTCTCTGAGGTCCACTTATAATGTTATCAAGATTTTTACACCAAAAAAACATAATAATTTAGAAGTGATAGGCTATTTGCTGTCCTGTTTTGACCCCTCATCAGAACGCTGTTTGAGTAGGTGTGGTGTGGAGGACTGTAGAGTAAACGCCCACTGCTGTGATTGGCTAATAGTTGTGTGCGATTGACAGTCTACATTCCTCACAGATGGACGCTGCTGTGATTTAGGTTAAAAACGTATACTCAGTTCAAGTAAAACGATCTGTAATAATAAACAAAGCAATAATGATCACGTAATAAACAGTTACTCACACTTGTGTTGCGACATTACTGTCGGATCCAATATAATCGCAATATAGTCTTTTAGTTTCAAACTTTCTGAAAATCCCGTGTCGAATTGTGCCTTGTTTGTAAACGAATCTTCAAATCTAGTTTGAATCTAAACGAAAATGAAGTGAACAAAGGACAGAGTTCTCATTGATGCGGTCTGGATCTTCATTAAAAATAAAGTTAATTCACTCTTTCCTAACGTTGGGATCAGAAGGAAGACAAAGCAAACTGTTTTTCCCCAGCTTGGCACCGCACTGCGTCTTGTTGTCTTCAGAGCATCTTTATCTTTTGGTTTCCCTCTCTCTTAAACACTACATATGCAAATCGGTGGGCGGGGCTAAACCGGCAGTTATGTAGAATCGGTGGGCGGGGGCTAAACAGGTAGCGGCGTAGAATCGGTGGGCGGGGGTTAAACAGTAGATTCGGTGGGCGGGGTTAAACTGTAGAATCGGTGGGCGGGGGCTAAACAGGCAGCGACGTAGAAGCAGCCACTGATGATCTTCTGTGGAGGCGGGGTTTATCCACACTATTACATCATAGTTTTTAATTGTTTTTAATAGTACAATGACCTCTTATATGTCAAAATAAAGGGAATTTTAGTTTCTCAGTTCACGACCCCTTTAAAGATTTGTTTGGACGTTTTATTCTGTTTTGGTGGCACAGAAATGACACGCATTGTGTTCAATTCTTGAGCCCACAATCAATCCCACAACATTAGTCTGTGCTTTTGCTCTTTTACTGAATCAGCTCTTCCTACATACTGTAAGTACTTCATTTGCTCAAGTAAAATGTGTCTGTTTTATTACTTTTTGTTTTAAAGACTATGCCAAATAAGTCAAATATACAAAAATGTGATCTAAAATCTTACCTTTTAAATCTATTGAGAACTCGCTCTGAATAAATATAAACAGCGGTCGTTCATTTCACGAGTATTAATATGAAATTATACAAATATAAAATTAGTTACTGG